CTTGTGTTTTTGTGATAAAAAATCAATAGGACTCAAACAATATCTAAAAAAAAATACAATTTCCACTTCAAAATTAGACAAACTCATTACATGCCGTTTTTTTTGTTTATCAAGATTTACAAGCTTCTGAAAAAAAATCATAACTATGTATTATTTCAAGTTGGGTCACAAACTGTTGGCCTGTTCACCACTTCCAAAAATCAATGTTGGCTGTGGGATTTTGATAAAGCTTCAAACTATTGTAGGATCTAGCATGTATTAAAAATGTCTTTTTATGAGCTGCAATTCAACTCAATTGAATGGAAGCGCTTTTTACTTTAAATTAACTACCTACTATGTTTAGATTAAGAATGTAGTGATAAAAGATTTAACATTCAGTTTAACTTGATCATTTTTTAGACTTTTATGAAATCTTTACATACAAGGAAATAATGTTACTTGTCAAAAATTTATAAAATAAAATACAATACAAAAATCTAATACAAACCTCCTATTGACAGTATTAAGATGATAATGAAAATATTTATTAACTATTACAACATAGATTTTAGGTATACATATAATAGTAGAACAGTTCCTAAAAGTCTTGAGAAGAAGTTTAAAAGCAAAAAAAAATTAAGGACTTGCAAGGATTTTCAAAGCCTCAAAAATATTGTAATATTATATAATCGGGTACCATTGAAAGAACTTTTTGAAATTAACACTATTATACCCTAATTATTTTTTGAATTGATCCCAATCAAATAGCTCTTTTTTCTATTTGTTACTAAATAGAAAGATTATTCAGATTCAAATTTAAAATAAACGTATTCAGTTTCATCCTACATTTACATAGGTATAAATAATTGTACCGTGTAAGGAAAGTTAGCTAATAAAAATTGAATTTTAGTTCACCACGGCTTCAGCATGTGAAATGTTTCTAGTTGTTGAAAGTGTTGCAGTATGTGATGCTGAAAGCTCGTTTTCGGGAATTGAAACGAATTCCACTCGAAATTGTTGATTGTAGAACTGCTACCAGTGCAATATTTTTTTTAATATAGTAAATATGTTTATAGAACTATGAAAATTATTTTTAATATAATCCAAACAAATATAGACGACATTTTTCGCTATCTACGTATATGACCCAAAAGTTATTACAGCACCGTAGTTTATTATTTTGAACTCAATATTAATTAATTATTTCCTGTATAAATTTTACAAATCATTCTTAATACATTGAATAGATGTTTTTTAAAACAAAAATATGTATCTTGGTAATGTATGCTTTTAATAACATAATATTATGGTACTGTGGTAAATCACTTTAAATTTTAAAATATAAAATATTTTATCTTGCATCTGGTACGATGTAGCCTTGTAAGCAAACTTGTGCTGCACGTACAAACAGGTAATTTCGACGTCCTGACCCATACGGTTCGCAAAGTCATAGCATGGGATTTTCCTTTACAATTTTCGCTTTTATTTCTAGTTCGTTGGTATTCTCTAAATGTATTAAAGTATACAAAGATTTTCTTAATTTATTGAGTTAGTCTACGGTTCTCTGAATTTATTGAAGTATTCAATTGTGTCTCTATTATATACTAATAATCTATCTGCAACAGATAACAAATAAATTCAGTGTTGTAATATTACTGTTGCTAGACTTATTTGAAAAAGTTTCAGTTGGGAGAAGAACTCTTTTTATACACATTTTGAACAATCCAGAAAGATTTCCAATCTGCTGATTACCAACTTATTATTTCACTAGCTTTTTGATTTTAAAAAGCTTTAAATTTTGTCACAAAAAAGGAAATTAAGCATAAATAGGTTCAGTGATAAGACTTATCCGTCATATATTGACAATATCCATATTTGCAAAATATATCACAATTATGCTATATCGATTATTTTCTTAGTGTATTTTATATTGTTCAAAGAATGAAACACAAAAGGTTGAACTATGTTTTTCTGCAAACATGACCAAGATTAAATAAAATTAGCAAATAGTTTAAAACATTCTTTAAAAGATTAATTTCGCGTTGTATCTGACTCTTTAAAAACATAAAATTTTCATAATCATGATTTTTTCTCAGGTTTTAAAGTACAAATTACTTTAGTCGACACATTGGTTGAAGTATTTTCTATACATAAAAATTCCAATTTAAACCGAGGGACTAAAAACAATTGTACCTAGTTAAGTCAACATTTAGAATAAAATAAATGTGGCTTTTGAAACTGGTCAGAATATACTTTATGGAGTTTTAATGTAAATGAGAGTAATGAAAACTCGTTTTGTAGCAAAGTAAAAAGGATAATAAAAAAGGTATGACAATCCACAATTTTTTCTAAATTCTTATGACATAATAATTTAATTCACGTGTCAGCCATTTGTATATGATGATATAGTAAGGGATAGCAAATATCTAAATGAAAAACGGATATGTTATGAAATATTAATAAATACTGACATTTTAAATTGTTTTAGTAGGTATATCATTACATAAACAATTTGTATTTATGAGTTTTTTTAATAGCTTTTTAGTTTATATACACTAACACATGTGTAAAAAAGTAAATTAAATTCTAGTAAAATGATGCTTATACACAACACGATATCAAATTCGCTTCTATTATATTTTTACTTATTTCACTTTCAAATATAAACAGATTACTAACATTTTCATCATATTTTTACTGCTTTGAAATCAAAGTCATTTATTTTAGATAATAACGTAAGGGGTGAGAACCAAATCGATATCAGAGATAAAAATATTAAAACATAATTTCTTAGAGGAGAAAAATAGTTATCTCAAATAAAAGTAGAAAATACGTAATCAGAACATTGACTTCAAAACTAATGTCATTGAAATTACGGAAAATTTTATGTTGATTTTTTTACAACTCTGGCTCATACTGCTCTTAGTGATTAAATTCTAAAATCAAATACCCACCATAAATATTTACGATCAACGAACAATGAGAATAAATTTTTATTACGCAATAAAATTTTGAGGATGTTATGTAGGTATCGTTGAAAAAAAGTGCGTATTTTCGTCGACAGCTTTATTCTTGCTGTTTCGAGCCACCGCTTAAGAAATAAACTCTGGATTTTAAAATTTTGCTGAGAAGGTTCAAAATAAAATACAATACTTCCATTGAGTTGCCAAATTTATTTCATCAACACCATCTTACTTAACTGTTTAGTTAGATTAAGGTGTTATCGTTGTTATAAAACTTTTTAGTCAGTGTTGTGAATACCTGTAGTAGGTGTACATATGAAGACCTATACTTTTGACTGTATTTGTTATGTAAATGTTGCATATATGTACTGTTGGTGTTCCTTAATAAATAAAAAAAGTGTTGTTTTTATTTACCTAGCAATGCAAGCATATAATAGATTAAAAGGTTCTGTTTCAGTTGCAAATATTTTGCAAATTACATTTTCCGCACATCTTTAGAATCTAAATTATATTTACATAGTTGGATCTAATCTGAAAAATCTAATCTAAGCTTTGGAATAGATCACGATTTCAAGGTTAGATAAGGCAGTGGGTCAGTGTGTCGCAGCGATCTTGTGACGCCGCATTCACTGTTCTTTGCCATTTTTGCCGCTTTGTTCTCTTCAAAGGAAATGCACTGAGCGATTAATCAGCTGTTGCATTTATTCAGACCTAGATTATAAATTTCAAAATATTAATTTGTGCAAAATTAGATTCTTATTTTGTATTTGTTCTGAAGAGAATTTGGTCTTAAAAATACCACCCCATTCAACATCTTTTTACACTCACTCCTTTACAGTCCAATCAATTCGTCTTTGGAACTCTCTTCCACTCGAAGCAAGACGTGCACCAAATATGACTTCCTATAAAAAATGATAAAAGAGCACAATCTTGCTTCATGAAGAAATACTGCAGTTCGTTAATTATTTTACTTATTATATAAGTATCTATAGTATGTAAATGTATATATCTATAATGTGTATGTATATTATATTATTATATAAGTATATATTTATGTATCGTATATATACATATATATTGTATCTATTTTTTTATGTATTAAGTAATTTGTACACCCCTACCATCCTATCTCTCTCCTCTACCAAAGGTTGCCTGGAAGAGATCGCTGTTTTAGCGATAAGGCCGCCTATTTGTACATTTTCCTTTCTTTGTTTTTCTCTTATTATTTCTGTCTATATTGGAGTATAATAAAGTGTAAATAAATAAATTACAGTTTTTATTTTGTAAAAAAAAAACTCTATTTATTGCCCAGCTTCGAAGTACATTAATATGATTTTAGTTTAGGACAAATATCACGGTAAGTCATCGTCTCTATTCGCATATACAGGTAGAAGTTTAGAAACTCTCGTTATTGCTCTATAAATGGCTATACTATCGCACAAGTCGGCTACAGCATTATCAAGAATTTTTAACTTTTTGTTCATAATATTTTGCGAAGATTTCAGTTTTGTTTTCGGATACACGGTACATAAACCAGAAATTTAAAGCTTTGATCAGAGGTTGTATCCGAATGTGATTGTACTTATTGATTGAAATTAAAAAGTTACGTAATTTAAGTGACACGGGTGTCTTTTTTCGTGATGCCTACAATGTTGCAATATCGTTTTTAAATGACTTTAAAAAAGAAGGAGGTTTTTACTTAATTCAGCAGTTTTTTTGTTCTGTTTCATAACAGGTTGATATTTAAAAGTGCTGTTCTATTTTTTATTACATTGCGTGATGTGTTATTATATTGTTATGACCATTAAAAACAGATTTTTTTACTTCACCTGGATTTTAATTTGAAGATATCAAAATACTTTTAATTGCAAACGTTAAACGTCTTTTCATGAGAATATCATAATATTGTAATAGGTTGTCAGATATCTTCCTTCCGCCTTTTTGTCTTTTGAATTTCGCGGCTATGTACAAACCGCTACAGAGCTTGTATCTGGCAATACTATACATAATTTAAAAGGTCTTAACACAACTTTCAAAACGACGCTATGCATTATTAATTTGGATATTGCCTTCAACAGTTATAGACATGTAAACATAGAGTACACTAACGCCGAAATTCGCGCCATTTTAAAGTTTTCCTTCGTTAAAGGCAAATCCGCTAGAGAAGCACTCCGTGAGATTAATGGTGTTTTGGGGGATGGTACTCTATCACTTCGAACCGCGGAGGAATGGTTTCGACGATTCAGAGCCGGTGAAAACAACACCATGGATAAGCCAGCCGGCGGAAGACCTGTGACGACAAATACCGATCAAATCATGGAATACATCGAGTAAGACCGGCATGTGGCATCTCGTGACCTCGCCCAGGAGATGAAAGTTAGTCACCAAACCATTTTAAACCATCTGCAGATGGCTGGACACAAAAGAAAGCTTGATGTTTGGGTGCCGCATGATTTGACGCAAAAAAAAACCTTCTGGACCGAATCAACGCCTGCGATATGCTGCTGAAACGGAACTAACTTAACCCATTCGATCACATACGACAATATCAAGAAAAAACGGTCGTGGTCGAAGGCCGGTGAATCGTCCCAAACAATGGCCAAGCCGTGATTGACAGCCAGGAAGGTTTTGCTGTGTGTTTGGTGGGATTGGAAGAGAATCATCCACTTTGAGCTGCTCCCATAACGCCAGACTCTTAATTCTACCATCTACTGCGAACAACTGGACCGCTTGAAGCAGGCGATCGACCAGAAGCGTCCAGAATTGGTCAACAGGAAGGGTATAGTGTTCCACCAAGACAACGCCAGACCCCACACTTCGTTGATGACTTGTCAGATGCTAAGGGAGCTCGGGTGGGAGGTTTTATCGCATCCACCATATAGCCCGGACATAGCGCCAAGTGATTACCACCTGTTCCTGTCCATGGCGAATGCTCTTGGTGGTATAAAGTTGAACTCAAAAGAGGATGGTGAAAAGTGGCTGTCCGAGTTCTTCGCAAATAAGGAGGAGGGCTTCTACGAGGGAGGTATTATGAAGTTGATGTCTAGATGGAAACAGATTATCGAACAAAACGGCTCATATTTGAATTAAATCCGATCACTGTAACACTTGTTATAAAGCATTGAATAAAGAGCAAAAAAGCGGAAGGGAGATATTTGACAACCTATTATATTAACGATGCTTAAGAAAAATGTTTACAGTAGGAAACATAATTTTATTATATTTGTGGAAAAAAGAGATTTTTTAGCCATTCTTCACAAATTGGTCTAGATATTAGACCCAACTGCACAATTTGTAATATAATATATTTACACATAAATTGACTTGAGTTTTTAACCATATATGTATAATATATATAATAATATACACGATTGTTATTGCTAAGCTGCTTGGCATATTGCAATTTATTTTTTGTCGTGAGTAAATTCGTGTAAGAAATAAAATACAAAAATAAAGATTCATTTTTAATCATATAAATTTTGGTTTCAAACTGTTTTAACAATAACAAATGGTCCAAATAACATCTGGCACAACGCTGACGGGAATATAGTTATTCGTCATTTGTTTTAACCGCTCGTTAGTCAGCAAGATATATGTAAATAATATATATTTGTTATTAGTTATTTTCAAAGTGAAAACATTTTCGATTTCTATTATTTATTTCTGATTAAATGAAATATGAATAAGCGGTATTGCATCGTGATTGAAATTCAAATTGTTTGTTTAATAATAACATTCAAATAGAAACAATATTATCTGATATCAATCTGTGTGTTCTGTGTACAATCAACAGGCACACATTAAACTATATATATGAAGATATTTAAGTTAAATAAAGCTGAAGTTTTAAACATCTTCTGCTTCTTTCTAACTTTTTAATTTGATAGCATTTCTAATAACATTTAATGAGACCAAAATACTGCAAACACTATAAAATGCAAATAAAATAATAGATTAGATGATTAAATACCAAATAGATTATTGTAACTGTTTCTTTGTTTGCTAATTTTGTATGGTAAGATAATATGAAATACTAAATAAAAATTTTAAAACGATGTGAATGAATACAAAATTGTCCCTATTTATCAAAATTTATAAGGTATTTTCATAACAATACCAACTATGCAACTGACCTACTTGTTTGTATACTCTACTAGATGACAACAATTATAGATTTGGTGGCTTCATCATCTACAAATGACAATAAGAGTTAAAAAATTCTGATATATTTCTCCTCCGCTTGTATTTTATGATTATAGGTAATTGGAGAGTTGCTTTTCTTATTCTAGTTTTATTACAAACAGTAAAATTTGAACATAAATAGAATAGAAGCGGTTATTACATTTTTAAAAGAATACGCTCAATTACTTACATTTCTGGATACTTTGTGTCATATCAGATAGTTTCCCGGCGTCGGGACGTGACGACCCCATCGCCCACCGGTGTATTCCGGTGCAATTAGTCACGGGGGGGAAGGGCCTTGACCTCCTCGTGGGGTCTTCGCCCGGGCTGGGGGTGCAGCCCATGGAGGTGGGTAGGACGAGGCTCGGCGGTGTACACCGCCGCTGCCAAGTTCGGCCCTACGTGTTGGCGGGTGGCCTCGGCCACTGTCGGCGCAGTCCGGCGTCGGGACGTGACGACCCCATCGCCCACTGGTGTATTCCGGTGCAATCAGTCACGGGGGGGAAGGCTGGGGGTACAGCCCTGGGAGTAAGACGGTCACGGATCTGGCAGGAGGCCGTCCGTGGCTGTCTTGGGGGGGAGGGGATACTCGGGTCTCTCCGGAGGCCTGAGTTCGCTTGTGGTCGGTCGGTTTCCTCTCTGTCTGCCGTCGGGCGCTTGCGCTCGTCGGTGGGTGGTTGGAGACTGGCCGCGTGGGCTTGGGTGGGAGGGGTAAGGGGTTAACCCTCTCGCGATTAAGCAAGCCCGCCAGGCGGGGGGACACTCCTGGTCACTTGGAGTGAGCCCTCGGGGGGGGAGGTGGCCGTTCGCGGCCCGCCGCCGGATCGTCGCGGATGCATGCTTCGGCGTTTCCCGTGGCGATCCACTTGGCGGCAACGGAGAGTGACCGCTGGTGTTTTAGTGGGTAACATGGGCCCTTCTGGCCGTGAATCCCACATAACCGCCTCTGTCTCCCCTAGACGGAGGGGTAGGTATAAAACCTTTCACCGCGATAACAAAAAAAAAAAAAAAAAATATCAGATAGTTTGTGCGTCGGCGTCTAGGCCATACATATCTCTGTATTCGAGATAATTTTAAAGCGCGTTGTCTTAATAGAGCTTACAGTTTCTTGGGAAACCAACATCCCCAAAGATCATGCCATTAAGGTGAATAAGTATTACGAGGTCACTAACGAACTCACTAAGAATATGTTTGTCTTTAATTTGAATACGGTAGAAGTGGGAGCGAGAGGTATAACAGCTGTAGGTCTCTACAAGACTCAGGCCTATCCAGAACTTATATTTGGAATTGTAGATGATAACTCCAGGGCTATACAGAGGATTTCTTTTATTTATATCGCTAAAGTTCCATCAGAATAAACACTTTATTTAATTACTGCCAGAGGTACTTAGTAGAAAAAAAAATATATGATATATTTAACTATAATAAAATAAATAATAATATTCTATTAATATGTATTTTAAGTTTTGAACTCAAATAATTTATTTTTTAAAAATATTTCCAACTGTTAAGCTTTTGATTTAAAAGAGCTTATAGTAAGACCTTTGTCACTTTGAAGTCTGTGAATGACTTTAGAAACATAAAACAAGAGGCAACGTTCCCTTTACGATTAAACTAAAAATAAATAATTAATTACGATTCTACGACGTGCAAAAGAATATTTTTTTTCTCTCAATTTCATTTTAAATCATAAACGGAACTTTCATTTTTTATGATGGTATCATGATAAATAGAGAAACAAAGTGTAACACTTTTGGACGATATCAATAACGATAAAAAAAAATTGTTCACACAATATTAACAGTTGGTTTTTATCATAGTTAATTTTTTTATCGAAAAACCTAAAATGAACTATATTTTTATGTATAGAATCATTGTGTAGGAGAATAGACAATGATATATTTGAGCATACCACTGGTGCATACAAGTTGTTTTTAAGGTTTTTTTTAGTATTTTGCTGGTAATAAACTTTTAATATATATTTTTTGTTTTGATAAACAAATTATGTACTATTTGTATAACAAAAATTTAATGCGCATGCTTCTTTTACCTATGAATAAAATAATATTATGGATTCATTAGAATTAAATATGTAAAGCAATATTTGAATACGGCAAAATTTATTATAATACTAGCTGTGCCCGCGACTTCGTTCGCGTGGAATAGTGACTATGAGCAGCGTTTTTTTTAAATATATACTTATTTTTATTTTGGATCACAGTCATTTTGGGTAGCTAAAAAACCTACTTTACTGTAATGCTTCTCTATATACAATATTAGACGTATGGCCATCGGGGGTGAAAGCATACAGGCTGCTGGGATTGCTAACACGGGACAGAGCCACATACAATTGACACACCCGGTCGAATATTGAACGCAGTTCTTCAGTTCTTTAATTTGACATAATTTTTTTTATTTATGAACCGATTGACATGAAACAAACACTAAAGCCTAACTGAAGCATACCACAATATATTCGTGAAAACCGCATCCAACTCGGATCAGCCGCTTCTGCGATTAGCGTAAACAGACAAACAGACAAAAAAAAAGTTAATTACATTTTTGGGTTCGAAATCGACATAACAGTAACCCCTGCTATTTTTTTTATTTTTATTTTCAATGTACAGACAGCACTTTTCTACAATTTTATTTTATGTATATTACTATATGTATATTGTCAATATAAATCTCTGTTATTACGAAGTAATAACAGAGATTTATATTGACAATATTTGAAAGCATGGTCTATTAAAAGCAAAAGAGTGATTGAAAATGCTTTAAAAATGAAAAATGTACAGTAAAATTGAGAAGGTCCTTGATATATGACGTCCGTTGATAAAAAAAATGTTTGGTAGATTTAAATTGGCTGCATTTCTACTATGACCTTAGGACATCAAATGCCGTTGTTCCTTTATACCTAGTAAATTTATATAAGAGGAAACAACATCGTTATTTATACTATAATATGATCTTTATACTCTGACAATAAATAATTATGTTGACGTGAAAACTAACACCAACATATTGTGTTTAGGCCAATTAAGTTAGATTTACGAGCGGTATCAGTAGGACTGAGTCAAGATGAAATAAGCTTAGTTTTTATGAGGAACTTTCAGTTGTTAATGGAGTAAATAGACGCTAGCATTACGTAA